GGTGTTTGCGTAGACCATAACAGAGATTCTGGGTGTTCGTGTTGAGTGGGGCCATCTTTTAGTCTTTGCTGACAGTTTTTTTTCATTATTGCTCCTAGAAAATGGGTGTTCGTCGGTGTTCGTGAATATAACTCTACACGCTGTGGGTGTTCGTAAAGATGACTTATATGCGATCTCACAAACTTCGCTGTTCGTGCTGTTCGCGTAAATTAGTAATACCCCAATGCTTTCGATCTCCATCTTGTACATAGTGACTTTGTTTTCTCTATTTCTATATATTAAAGATAGATTACGTGGTTAAATTTTGCAAAATTAATTTCGTTTGTAAATATTTAATAAACATATCTTCTTTGTCGATTTTAGTTACTTGAAAAATGAAAAAAAGAAAGAAAACGTGAAAACAAGACAAATATGTGAAATACAAAAGGCAAAAAGAAAAAAGAGAAATGAAAAATAAAAAAGAGACAGAAAAAAGCACGACTACAATAATACAAACAAACAATAATAGTTAAGCTTGCATTTTAACATGAACTTTATTACTACCTCGACAATAATACATTTTATGTGCATCATAAGAACTTTTATGTCGAAATGGAATTTGACATGTTGAACAAAATGTCTCATTAGTTTTCTTTTTATTATTTGATTGATCCTCATTTGTGGGTCGAGATGAACAATAATTCGTCATATGTTGCTTTAATGTATCAATACTACCAAATTTTATATGACAATAAGGACAAGCAAATTTTTTCTTTAATAAAATTCCATCAGATATTTTTTTCATTGAATTTACATCGACTGATTCAATAAGAACATTACGAGTGAGATTCATCGGATCAGATGATTTATTGTTTGAAGAAGACAAAGGAGAAGATGATGAAAGACTAGAAAAATTTTGTAGAACATTTTTTCTTCTTTTCTTTACAAATCAAACATACTCTCGATCTTCATCCGATTTTTGTTCATTATTTGGCTCATTCATCATAATATGAGTATCGTTGGATACAATACATTCATCACTATCATCTTGTTCTTCTTCATCACATTTCATATTTGTATGTGTTAATTTCATATGACGTAGTAAATTCCATTTTGAGCAAAATCTTGATTGACATTCTAAACATTCAAGTAAACTTTCTTTTGTATGCACACATTTGATATGATTTAATAGTGCATCTTCATGATCAAACATGGCTGAACATATTGTACATTTCAGCAATAGTTGCGTCGATGGAATTGGTAAAGAATTATTTATCGTTGATGTTATTATTATATCATCATCTGAACATGGTTCATTATTAGATAAATGAAATTTAAAATGCATACGCATTCCACGCAAAGTATTTCCACGATATTTGCATAGACGACACATAAATGGTGATGAACGATGAGGCGGTAGATAAGATGAATTTACTGAATCGTTTGGAGATAATGAAACAGTTCTTGATATTGTTGTTGATATCGGAGGAGATTGAGATCTATTCAGATGGTACAAATAGAAATGATGTAATAAAGACGTATGCATATACTGCAATGTTAGTTTTGTTTTTTTCGTAAAAGAAAATAATGAAAAAAAAGTTTCATGTAAAAATCTTCTAATAATTTAACAGAAGAAGTAGAATATTTATGCCTTTCGATTATTTTGTGGTTTGAACTGTTATCTAGTAACATATTCAATATCTTCTCTATTAACAGTACTAGATGTAGATCTAGGCATAGCTTTGGCTGGAGACACAGTTATTTTACTCGACTACTTCAATAATCCATATACTTATCAATCATATACTAGTACTATGAGAAGCTATACCTCATAAACAGCAGAGTCAGTATGCTACTGAATGAATGATCTAAGACGAACAACTGTTAGAGATCTGCTTGTAGTCATGCCAAAGTTATTGACACTGAATTTTAAAAAATGAATCCATTTCATAGATTTCAAATTGATCATTTTGATGAATGTTTTCTGTCAGTTTGATGATTCTAATGTCTAGATCGATAATAACATATCATTAATAGAAGAATGTCTTTCTTATCGAAATATTTTTTATCACCAGAGATGTAAGCTAGCCACTGGAGTAATTACTACTGATGGCTAAAAGAAAGCATTTTTTTTAAAATATTCTAGTCATCGGAAATCCAAGCGTCAGTTTACAACTCGATGACTAAAACTTTTATACAGAAATTCAAACGCTAGATAATGTTTTTCTTTTTTTTAAATGAATCTTTAAAAATAATATTGTTATGTATGCTTTCTTCTTATACAATATTTTCCATTCTATTTGATTTTTTAATCAAATAAGAAAACATTGACGTCCCGTATAAATAAATACTAATACTACAATAGTAAAAGCCATTTAGAAACATAGTAATTACATAAATAGTGTCTAAAATGATTAGATATTATTTACTTTTAAATTTGAAGATCAATTAAGTTATCAAATTTATAATTTCAAAAAACAAACTAAGCTTTCTCAATCATGAAATAGTAAGAGGAATATAGATCAACCAAACATGTTTTGAATCACTTAAAAATTCGAATGATTGGCTTACTGTATTGAAGAATAGTTTTACTGCTTGAATCATCTAAAACTAGGTCAAACATACGGGTGATTTCTGTACTTTTTCTAATAGAAAATCAAACAATTTATCAATGAGAAAGAAACGGTACGCTCCAGTGCGATGTTTTTTTCCCTAACATTTTCCTCTTCGAATAGTCTTCTATATGAATGAATGCAAATATAAACTTGTGGTCCTTCTTACCGATTAGAATCATTAACTATTACTTTTGTTTCAATTGTAGATGTATTTACTGATGAATTATTATTTGCATTTTTCTTTTGTTTTCTATATTCGATACAATAGTTTTCTTGATGAGCATGTAAAGTTTTCAATGAACTGAATCGTATTGAGCAATAATCGCACTCATAGATTTGTTGTTGAGCACTATATGATGCTTTTGTTATTGTTGATGATGAATTAAGTATATTAAATAAACTCGTTGATTTTTCAATAGTTAAATCTAATGGTGAAGACGATGACTTAGTTGATATTTGTCGTTGTTGTTGTTGTTGTTGTTGTTGTTCACCTTCATCGATTTGTTTTTTAGGTTTACTTAAATCAAGTGGTTTATTATCATTGATTGGTGACTTTGATCGTTCACTATTCTCAACTTTTGATGAAACAATTGGTACAGGTACGTAAATAAATGGTCCGATTTGTATTGGCCGATCAAATGGAATTGGTGGTCGAAATGAATTTGATATATTTTCATTGATTTGACGTAAGGATGATGATGATGATGATGATGATTTCGTTCCACAGTAGTGTAATTTATGTTGAAGAAGATTATCTGGTTTTGAAAATAAAATATCACATTCTGAACAATAAGCATCATTTGATGATAATGATAAACGTTTTGTTGGCGATGGTAATGGTGATGAATCATTTATATCAATATGTTTGCGTTTCATGCCCTTTACTTTAACAGTCATTGTAGAATCTATAAAACATTTTTTATGGTAATCAATGACCTTTTTTTCGTTAGAGATTACTTTATCTTTATCGATTTACCTGTTGCATGAATTTTTGTAGTTTCTCGTTTCGTACAATAATGTTGTCGGTGAGCTTCTAGTGTACTTCGATTACTATAACGAATACCACAATCATCACATGTAAAAAGAAGTGCTAGAAAAAAGAAACAATAATTCAAATCAACGAAAACTTATTAAAGAAATATATTTTCAGAAATTTTACGATAAAGTTTTTTTGTTTCTTTAGATTTCGATCCATTAATATTGATCATAGATAAATCTGATTTAATACTTGACGAAGAAAGATTAGCTTGTGGTTGTTCTTCTTCAGATTCGATAGGCTCTTGTTTCACTTTGATAATATCAGTACTATTATTCATATCTAATTTTGACTCTTGTTTTATTTGTGATTCTTCGATTTGAGTTAATTTTGGAAGAATAATTGTATTCGAACAAAGACGTGTACCAGTTTTTATAGATTGAGTTAGGCTTGCATATATTTGTTCATCTAAATAGTCTCTAATTTAATTTTAAGTTACAAAAATAAAATTGATTAATTACTTTGAAAAGTTATATCGAGATTTGAAGATGCATTATTCGATGCTGAACATCTAGTAAGCCAATTATGTTTATTATCAAGCAACTGAAAAGATTGTGTTCCATTTTCAAGAGTTTCATTATCAATCTGTAAGAAAAAGAAGAGAAAGACAAGTACAAATTGTCAAACTGATGTTCTAGTTTTAATATGGAACCATTGCAAAAGGTTAGCATAGTCCAATATCTGTCTCGCGTTCTCTCTCGATTTTTCTTTTTTTTTCCTCTTTCGTCACTGCCATCCTATCATCTCTCGGCACATACATATAAAAAAAACTCAAGATAACCATACTTCCATGCGTGCCCGCACGCGCGACCATCGGATTGGAATGGCCGATAAGACAACGACAACAACGAGCTATCATAGATCGCTCGTGTCGTTCTCATTTCTTCAATGTCCTCATCGCCGTTGTTCTATCAGCCATCTTTCAATCCTTTGTATGCACACGCACACATAGCGAACATGAATATGTGCTTTGACGATGATAAGAGCAAAACGATGAGATAGATAACTCGACTAAAAACGGTAGCAACAAATATAATCTAACAGAGAAAACTTCTATGATGCCGTCGTTAAGTCTTATCTTGCGGCACCAAGAATGCAACGACAGCAGGATTAAATGAGAACGAGGAAGCGAGTAAACCTTATCTTTCTGTCATAAAATGTGAAATAAGAACATACTTGCATGATCATGCAACTAACATTCGTTGAATCTGAACCGGATGACACGTGTTGTTGTTGTTGTTGTTGTTGTTGACAAGAGATTAAGATAGCTGGAAATGGGCCAAAACGATGTTCTTGTTCAATATCAATTCGAGCTACAATATCATGTGACTATGATTTAAAAAAAGCAAATCATAGATGAAATACTTTTTTCTCTCTTAACTATAATTAAACTTACTTCTTCATCACATTTCAATTCATCGGGTAAAACAAACATAGTTTCATCACCTTCTTTAAAGTATCATATGTGAAATAAAATTAATATTAAAAAAATGATGTACCTTTCAATGACTTTGGACGAAGTTGCTTACGACGGGACATGGCCATTGAGTGTCTATACATATATGTATATGTCTGAAGAAGAGAAAAGCAAACGAGAAGGATGCATATACATGTATATACATATATGCGATCTAATCGATGATAATCGTATTTCTCTCTCTCGCGTTCTTTTCTCTTAACCGATAAGCGCAAATTGACCATTACGGAACATTGAGAAGACATGGAGAAAAAGAAAAAAAAGTTCAATATATATATATATATATAATACATCGAAAATAGAAGAAAGAGAATTCGATCTTCTAATCTTCGACGTCCCGTCCCGTCATCACCCTCATCGTCTCTTTCAACTCTTCTCTCTCTCTCTTTCTCTATCCTTTTTTTATTTCACTATAGATAATATTTAGATACGCTCTCATAGAGTGTGTGTGAGGGAGCGAGAGCACGTAGATAGGCGGCGTGCACAAAGATTAGGCACTGATAACAAGACCAACTAGCGAGACTGACTGAGTAAGTAAGTAAGATGCGAATGAATGATTCAGAATTACAGTCCGATATTGCTTCAATACTTTCTTGCATCTTTGAGCTTGTCATCATATGTATACATATCTGATTAATAGCATATTTAGATTTATAATATTGATTTTTTAACTAAATTGAGAAGCACTGGTGATTTGATGATAATAATTGAGAAACGTAAAAGAGAATAACGAATGAATGATGTACTTTATCAGTATATATATATATATATTACCTATCATTTAAATAGATATAAATGAAGAAATCAACATTTTACATTGACACTAAGTTTCTAAGTAGTACCTGTTCTTCCTTTACACTGGTAAGATAAGTGAGTCTGTGATTGAAGTCAGCACATATATCGAGGAAAAGAGAGACGAGAGAGAACAGGTTAAATCACCGTGCCGATGTTGGTGATGTTTTTTGCCATTCGCTTACACGCGGCGAAGAGATAAGCCTTGCACATATCCATAAAAAACGTTTTCTCTCTCTCTCTCATTCTCTGACTATTGCCGACGACGACGCCGCGAAATTGCAACGTCGTCGTTCGTTATCTTATCGATACATCGATCATCAAGGGAGAAAGAAAAGAGTCGAACTTACCCGAACGACTGAATGAGGTCTGTCTTTTGGCCAGATTGTATATTCATTCTATTCACAACACATGCACTTCTTCCAATTAAAGAAGAACAATGTGTGTGTATGCTATATTCAAGTTAAAAAAATTACCATCTACCAATTCTTATCAGTTGGTAATCGAAGAGCAAAACAGACAGCGGCATCAACATCAGTACTTTTATAGGCTTGAAATAGTAAAGAAATAAAGATACGGACGAATGATCGACATGCACAAAATAGACTAACAAATGTCGTTCGTTTAGCTGATATGTAATATTAACTGAATTCATTGGTCTTATAAACACACACACACACACACACACATAGATATATGTATTTATACAATGTTTATCAATTCTATTTGCGTTCTTTTTTTCCGTAGTATTCAATAGACACAATATGCAGCATCTTTAGTGTATCAAAACAAGAGAAGAAGAAAAAAACGAGCAAAAGAAAACAAGAGAAAGAAAATAAAATCAGAACGAAAGTAATTTTGATTGAAAGAAAAAGACAAAAAAAAGAAAAGAAATGCATAATAAAAAATAAATATGTATACTTTTTATGTTTTGCATAAAGACCTGCACAGATCCGCTTATGTATTCATAAAACTAACATTTTTCCTTGATGCAGTCTCTCTCGATGTAGATCTTTTCAAAATAGATTTGAGTGTCTGATTCGAATGTACACTTGAGGATGGAATACGTTCAGTAACAATTGTTGTTTGCTGATCGTAATTTATTATTCCATCTTCTCGTCCATCATTTAGTTGTATAAGATTCTCCTGGTCATCTTTAGTAATAATTGAAACTGGAATTTCCATACGAAATTCATTTTTATAATTATGATTATTACTATTATTAGTCGAAGGAGATTGTGGCAATTGAAGCAAAGTATCAGCTACTATTGATGTAGGATGAGAAGGCATTTGAATTTCATGTAGAACAGGTATATGATAAAGATTGTTTCTTTGAGACATACGTGCAGAGGATGGACCGATTGGTGGCTTTGTTGACAACGTATGTGCCGACAATAAACGACTATCAAGTGAAACAGATTGATTATTTTTCAAATTGACAATAACACGACGTGATAATGCAGGCGACCGAATCAATATATTATTAGTGTTATCAGGTAGTGAATTATTTACTTGTTGCTGTTGTTGTTGTTGTTGTTGTTGTTGCTGTTGAAACCGAACAATACCTTGTATAGCTTCACGAGCCATAACTTCAGCTCGACGTCCTGATGAGGTATTTGATCCTGTACTGGCATAGTCTGATGATAGTGATGTATCTGTTAAATCCGTTTTTTGACGTTGTAATTGATTGCTTAATGGATTTGATAGTGGTGAAGAACGAAGAACAGCACTCGATATACGAGAACTATTTGTTGGTATGGATGCAACATTTGGTGCTTGTGCAAATCGAATAGGAATTCGACGAGCAGACGATGGTATTATATTTTGTTTAATTGTATCATCATTATCATCATCAGTTGCTGCTGCTGTTGTCGTCGTTAGCTTTGTTGTTGCTATTATGGGAACTGCAAGATTAAAACGACGTGAAACGGATGGTAAACGAAGTACATTAGTTTCTGATTCTTCACCATTGTTATTTGCATGATTTTGGGAATATTTCGAGCTAGGCCGTAAAAGATCTTTTAAGAAAACAAATTAATTAGCAAGGAGAAAAACAAAACAAAAATATTTTATGCATCCTACGTATAAATATATTCTGGAATCAATTTTTTTTAATTTCTCAAAAACTATGGACGAAAAATTTTTCAATTTTTAGAAATTCATTGAGTTAATACTAACTAGTATAATGTGGTTTCGGACTTGAATTTCTACTGCTATCGTTGGCACTAGATGACATTTGAGTCGTTTCACTAATAAAAGTAACAGGTATAGAATGAATAGAACTATTTGTTGTCGATGCTCCATCCTCTCTTGTTACTGGTATCGGAATAAATTCACGCTTGTTTGGTATCATTGTACGAGTTTGTGTAACAAGCGGAGTGAATGTGGATTTAAAAAGACCAGAAGAAAAGTGATTATAATTATTAGTATTATTGCTCGTCGTCGTCGCTGTAACTATGGGTTTTGGTGACTGAGCATTAAAATTTTGACGATGAAAAAATGATTCCGAACTAGTTGTTGCACTATGTGGAGCAACTCTTGAGTAATGATAACGTGGCATATATATTAATAGCGATCTGCTATTTTGGTTACTCGCAGATTTATTTGAAAAATTTGTATTATTACTTGGAGGACGACGAATGACATGGTAAAGCATCGACGACGACGAGCATTACAAATGTTGATGATGATTCTCTGAAATAGTATATAATAAGTATATATTTTTGTTGACAACACAACAGACATGTTCTTTCAATACTGTCGAGTCAACGAGAAAAGGCTCAGATGAAAAAAAAGAAAAGAAGTGAAATTCATTTTAATACTGAAGCTCTAAAAATTATTTCAATTAATCCTTTTTTTCTTCTTCTTCTCGTTCTTATTTGTGCATAGATTCGATGCGGAAAACACACATATCATGATTAAAGAAAAGAGAAAATGGAGAACTTTCAACTGATACTATGTCTTCAAGCTTGTCAAGTTAATTTTAATCTTTAAAATTTAATCTTTTTTCAATAACAAAATTTATTCAGTCTTTTCATTTCTGCTCAACTTGATTCAACTAAATTTAAAGAAAGGCATCTATTTGTTGAAAATAATTACGAGAAGAAATTAAAAAAAAGAACATTCGAATAAAACTTCCTAAAAGAAAAAGACGAAGAAGTTTATACAGTAGCTTGCAAAGAGAAATGCACGTGTCTCACCTGCATGCAAGTTACAACATCTTTCTATGTCGACAACAATGTCTTTTTTTTTATACACCAAAAATTTATCGAATATATAAAATGTGATAAGAAGAAACAAATCATTTTGATACTCATCATCAAAAGTATTATCACCACCATTATAATACAACAAATGACATACAGTGACATTAAATAGAGTGTGGACGGGACTTTGACGATACAAGAAAGGGAAAGAGAAAGGGACTGAGAATGTGTGTGTGCCTGTTGCACATCCACAATATCATCCAAAATATTCGCAAAATAAGACAACACACATAGAGACGAGAGGGTGCGTCTATCTTGTCGCTTGTCTATTTTTTCTTTATACTTATATTATCATTGTCTGTATATATGTAGAAAAAGAACTTCTGGTGTTGATAAGCTATGCTCACACGACAATTGTCAAGGAAAAAACAAGAAAGACAAAAAAAATAGGGAACAAATAGATAGAAACTTGTTACTTATCATGCAGATGTATAATGATAGTAGAGAAAAAAGAGAGAGAGAACTGAAACTTGTCTAACTGCGAGCTAAGACGAATACAGCGACATGTAAATACTCAGTTGTCTATATACGTAGCCACAAAAATACCAACATTAGTTTAATACACAAGTAAACGAAAAGTTGATGTAAAAAGGAAAGCATTTTTCTTCTGCTCTAATGCGTCTCTACATACACATAATATCACCTGTCAAAAAACCCTTTCGGATGAGAATGAAAAATGATTTTTTTAAAACAAGCGTTATTGAATTTTCATTTAATTAGACTTCTATTACCTTGTTTTTTTTACATTTCTCCGTATTATTCATTGATAGATTACCTTCAAGCCAGCTATCAAACGATGTTATCATGATCAATAATGACACTATGTAAAAATGTCTTGATTTCTATTTCTTTTTTTTGTGTTATGACAATAAACGACAAATTATAAAAAATAATTTGTTAATATTGTTATTGAACATCCATATGAAATATTATTTCGAAAATAATTTCACAAAAAAGTATGGCAAACAAACTGAAATAGTTAGGACAGCATATCTTCTTATTAAATATTTGTTAACAAGGCTGATGACATAAAGTAGTCGACACGTAGGTTTATTATTCTATCCTTGATTTTTGTGACACGTATTCATGGCAATAGTTATCAATATACGAAGTAGTCGATTCATAATCGATGTAATGCAAAGAAAAATGATGTTATCAAAGTAGACGAATATGCCTAAATATTCGATTAATAAATTAATGCAAGCATATTTATCTATTATCTTTCTCATCTTTATCATAAGAGGAAAAAATTTAACGTCTAGTTAACATATTTACAACATGATAAATATATTTTCTGAAATATACAAAAAAAACAACATACATGAAAACAATAAAATTTATTAGTATTTTTATAATAAGTAAATAAGATAGTTTTTATTATTTTTTATTTGGTTGATCTTTCAGTGAGACTAATTCACAATTTTCTAATTGAAATTTTTTTAGTACATTCGTTGTTTCTATTTTTTTTCTACCATAACATTCACGACGTATTTTTGTATGAGATATAAATATTGTTATGATTGCACCAGTATGTCCAATAGTATCAAATAATGTAGTTATTTTTAATGAATAAGTTGGTATTGAATAGGAAAACATGCAACGAAAAAGTAAAAATGATGACAACAAACCAGGAATAATAAGCATCGTAAGAAGAACAAGTATTCGTCTAAGCAGTGCTATTTGACGTTTTCGACGACATCGTTCTATTAATGGTAAATGTAAAACATAACAAAGAATGTGTATATAGACACTTGATAGAAATAACATAGAAATATAGTAGATAATCACTAAACAAAACAAAAATTTTATGTTAAATACAAATCAATAAAATAAAAGGAACAAAGTCTTATATTTATTTCAGCACATACTCATATATAACGAATGATAAGTTTGAGTTATTGGTACCAGACATAAATGTGATCCCGAATCATAATTTACTCCATCTGTAAATATTATTACTGATATCAATAATATTATTAGTAACCATTGAAATAGAAGTACTACTAGAAAGCATCGATTAGATGTTAAAAATCGATTTGTATGATAAACAATACATCGAAGTCTGTTAAATGCCTTTAAACAAAGTGAGGTATACATATATAGGTAAAATAAATTTAAAAGTGTTCCTCGTAAGATACAAAATGAATCGGGATAACCAATTCCTTCAAAATCACTTTTTAATGCATAACATGCATTTATTAACATTATTGTACTAGTTAGTCCTATAGCTAAACAAGCATTACAGACTATTAAATTTGAAATTGAATACGACGGATGATCGAGACGTATGATTGTCAATATAAAAATACATGCGCAAAGTATACCAACTAAATTGCCAATAATCATAATTGAATCATTAATAAAATACCACAATGGATAAGAATCAGTAATATTTTTTGTTATATTCATTATTGAAATGCTAAAAATGAGAAGATTGTAGTTGAACAACAAAAAGAAAAATCAACCATCTCAGATCTTAATGAATAACTCATAAAAGGTAAGTTTCTTAGTATCTTCTGTTTTTCTTAACATCTTTTCAATATAGCAAGACTGCGTTATTTTAATTGAGTTCTGGTTTTATTCTCTATAAATTAATTTACAATTTCGAAATGCAATAAGATACTTTATTTGTTTGAAGTCAATGGCAAAGATGCATTCAACATAGGGCACGCTGAAAACAAAACTTGTTTTCTTTCCAAACATTTTGTTTTGTTCTTAATGAGTGATTTTATTTACCTTCCTTTCAATAATACAATACGGTGACTAATTATGAATCGGAAACTATTTCTAATGAAATCTTGGATAGAATCGTGAACTTATCGTCTTCAGCAAATAAGCATTATCTTTAATCAATGACATACATATTAACACAATGTCTTGGAAATTTTGTATATACACATATACGTATATGAAAATCTTCAGCGCTCTTACACTTTTGATTATTCACGAAGAAATACTGATAATCTTTCGTATCTACAGCATATGCTAGTATAACTTGTTTTTTAACAGATAAATTTCTATTATATGAGAGAAAAAGTAAAAGAATATTGAAAACGGTCATACGTAAAAGATTTGACAAAAATTTCGAAGGTATTTATTCTATTTGTCAAGAATAATGATCACGAACTTGATGAACTAAATATTCGTTCCGTTAATCAAAACTTCATTGGAACTAGTTTTCAGTGAGCAAATCATTCATTTATTGTAAGAAGAAAATAAACGCTAGTAAATTTACTAATGGGAGCAAAAATAAAAGACTTTGTAGAAAATAGAATTGTGACAGTGACTTATACTAAATTTATCTATGTAATTTGTTCGCCATAAATAAGAGTGTCTCTTGTGCAATTTCCGTTATGAAAGAAAATTTGCGAACAACCAACTGAGAACAAAATGAAATAATACTGTTATATTGAAAAGTTTATCAGAAATATATAAGATACTGAGCGGATTCATTTCCTTAGGGCCATCCATCATTTTAATGTAAACATTAACGCTAGCTATGTTCACAGAACAATAAATAACACGTTCGATGGATACAGATTTAATGTGTATTCATGGATAAAAGTCACTTCCGTCATCGGGTGTGAGTTATCATAAGTAATAGAAGATTTAATCATTTGCGTGTCATTACTTCATCGTGGGTGTGAATCACGGACACCAATCGAAATCTTGTGTACTTAATTAAAACTTGAGTTTCGCCAACGGAATCTATTTTTTTCTGTAAACTTTATAACTTTTTAAAGTTTTATACTATCTTCTGTATTGCTTCATATCAAATGCATGATTAAATCTAAATATTTTGAAATGAACCTCAATTTTAATCAATGTTTGTTTTTCATTTCAAAAATAAATTTATTTGCTTGAATAGTTATGCTTTTAGATTTTCGAACCTAATCAAATGATTACCTTGATTAAATTAATAGAAAACAGCGTTACAATAGAGAGAAAATGAAATTTCTCTTTCTAACCTTCTGATTAGTATATTGAAATATTACTCTATTTTGAATCTTGAAAATGGTTCTGAAAATCTTTATAAACTTTGCATGACAGATAGCTTAAAAATATTGCTTTTTGAATTTTGAATTTTAATAAAAAGTCGACACTATACATAATCACTTGGTAGCTGCTAAAACAAGTGGCAGATGCTTAATCCCATCGATGCACATTCGTAATCAAACAAGAGTATACAGATTTTCAGATCTCCGTTCTTTCTGATGATTGAGAGCGGATGAAGATAAAAACTTGTGTCAAATAGTTTAATAGCTTTATGATAGAAGTCATGTTTTTCTTCTTCTTACTTAGTTTAAATGAATTGATGTAAATCTTTACATACTAAATGTGTCTTAAAATATTTTTTGATCAGTAAGCACAATATGAAAAATATCATGTCTAATCACTAAAAGGTCATAAATTCGAGACTTTAGAGTTTCCTTTTTTTGTATCATAGCAATCTAATCTGAAATAACATATAAAATTATATGTAATTTAATGATAAACCATGGCTTTTGCTAAAGAGTTTATCCATAAAAAAAACATAATCCTTGACAGTTCTATTTTTCCTGTTCTATATTAATCCGTCATTACAAAAGATAATCTTCAAATTTTCATTATAGATAATACGCTTTTTCTGCCTAAAGATATGAATTAATTACTGTTTTTGATACAGCACATCGCTATTTATTGTAGAATGCTGAAGTTATCGCATCACGCAAAGTTGATTTTTGAAACAAAAGCAGTTAAAATAATGGCAGAGTAATCATTTTTTTTAAAGAAAACAACATAAAAAAAATCAGTTTCATTCTATGGTTGTGACAGAAATACGTTATAAAGTCATTCATGTACTGCTCACAAGTTCTGTTTCTAATAAAATTTACGAGCATGAGATGCCAACTATTCCCTTATAGTAATCAAATGAAAAACAACATGCATTGTTGTTTCGGTAATTTATACTATGTTCATGATTCAACTTTCTGGCTAATCAGATGTTAGATAAATAAAAGTAACTAACTTGGATTAAATTTTCTTGTCGACAGGCCAAATAATAAATCTAAAAATAGAAATTTATAATCAATAGCAAGAAAATAAAAGCAGATGGTTATGTGTAATAAATTTCATGAACAAAGCTTATAAATGAGAGGTGCAAAGTATTCCAAGTTTCAAAAAGATATCCAGAGTTTTTTTCCTGGCAGAAAAAACTTCATGAGAATTTTCTTTCTTTCTTTCCTGATGAAAGTTTCATGGACGGCACACTTAACATCGCATGAAATGATAGGTTTTTTCCAGAACATTTTTATATCATAAATTAATTGAAATAATAAGAGAAACTTAACAAATCATAATAATCATGCCATTGAAACCGAAGGGCATCCTCGAAGATGTTCACGTCTATCTCTGTTGGTTTCATGATCATGACAAGAATTTTTTACAATGATTGAGACATTCAAAAACACAAAATTAGATGATCTATAACTGACAACAATTAAGGAGTAGTGTATTTTTACACGAAAAATGCCAAGTATGTTTAAAGTACATCACGAGGATGCATGGAAAAAAAGAATGATTCAAATCTTGCTCTCTTTTTGTTTAGGTGAGAAGTGTATAACGAGAAGGATGGGAAATCATGCATACTATCCGTATTCAGCTTCTAGGTAATCCATGATTTCCATGAAAAGACAATGAATATATAAGAAAGTGAGAGGGGGCATACGAAGAGTTCAGTAAACACGGTAATAGTAGGTCGACTAGAGAGCGAGAGGCAGAAAGATAAATAGACAGACATACAGAAAGCAAAGCATATTGATTGAAGACAACAAGACGCAGAAAGTAAAACAATAAAAAATATATTTGTTGTGACTCATGAACACATATTATATGTAATATTCAGCACTGTAACGAAATGTCAACATTATTGCTATAAAAACTAAAAATGTTTTTTGTGCGACGATCAATCAAATTTCTTGCAAACAGCACAGGGTGAATATCAATTTTAATTCTTTTTCCATCTTATCTATACGAATAAAATTATATAGAATTCTCAAATATTAGCTAGCTATTTATGAGCAAAACAAGAAATATCAAGGAAAACGACTGAACTAAGATATTTACAAACACAAAACATTTAAACGTAGGTAAGCAATCGGTACTTTTACTGGCTTCTAATCGTGTTTCTGAACTAAAAGATTTAAGTCAATAGCTCATCAAAAGATTTTTGACTCATTTTTATCGATGATTTCATGTAGTCCGTTCAAGGGCGAAAGGCAGATTTTTGAGATTTTGAAAATCCAAAAATATCCAAAAAATTCAAATCCGCCGTTTCCCCTTCGAGTCCGTTTGTGTGTTGAAACTATGTTTAAGGAAGTCGTGCGTAATAAAAACATCTAAACCACTAAATATTAACGAGAAATATAGACAGTTATACTTATTTGTGAATACTTTCTTATTTCTTGCAATAAATGAACCAACTAGCGTCTGTAAAATAAAAAGGAAAAATTTGTAAATAATAAATAACTTGACAGTAATGCGTAAAAAATTGAATTAATCATTCAATGCATTTAACTAATTATAAAAAAAAAGTCATCTTGAAATTGAATACTCGAAAAACTTGTCAATCCGGATTATCAAAAAGCCTTTCTCTATTTGTATTTTTCTATGGTGTGTTTCATTTTCTATGGCAATCAAGAGTGGTAGAGATTATTAATAATTAAAATGAAGTACCAATTTTTTGTCACATCTTTATTATCATCACCATGAAGATTATCAACATTAGGTTGCCAAAAGAAGTATTAATTTTTAAAACTATTCACATGCTTTGCATAGATGAGAATAAGAGTTCGCCAGTATAAACTAGGGAGTCGTCTCTTTCTTTTCATCATGAGAAAGCAAAAAAAAGAATTTTCTTAAATTTCATATTAATTATATTACAGAGATGATTTTTCATATAGCTATGACTTTGCTGTGCCAAATTAATATCATTGAATTTTTATACTATCATGCTTTGATAAATAATTTAGAACATTCTTTTTTAAGAAAGCTATTTAGTCTATTTAAATACTGAGAAAATTACTCTTGCTAGATCTTGAAAAAGACCGATCATTGATCAAATAATTATAATTTTTCATTAAAGCTTAATAAAACATCCTCATTCCAAAGATTAATTAATTCAACAAGTCAAGATAATGAGATTGAAATTCTAAAGTTTGAATACTATACTTCAGACTAACTCCTGCTTCATCAATAACTAAGTCGATGATTTTCATGCGTCATCACTAATACCAGTTAATTAAATTCACTTCTTATCGAACACTACTCGTCTCTTACTGTTTTGAAAAATAGAATAGACATTAAAAACTGATACGATGGGTCTTGTTTCTGTAATCACATTAGTAATAATAACTTAAACAACAATAAATATAAATCAGATTCATAGTGGTGTCTTATTGTTTAGACAAACTTCATAGTCTCGTAAGTATTAGGACGCCACAATGAATTTTAATTCTCTAACATCAAAAAGAAAGATCAAGTCAATTAATGAATTTTTACGACTCATCTACTATCTTTATTGTCTTCTTCTGATTAAATTAAATTAATAATTATTATATCTCTTATTGTTTGTTTGTGTTAATTTGATATAGCGTCAGTAGATAGAATGAAACCATGCGTGAAGTTTTACAGAGTTCATTCATACAAAGGTATTGTTATCCGACAACATAAATCTCTCAATTGTTCATCGGTAATGTTCATCACTGAGGGATTAGTTTTTTAATTAATTCTGACCTACTTATATGAAAAGAATGACACAATATGATTAAAAAAAGATAACAGTGTGAAGGCAAGCACCAAACATGATTCTTCATATGAACAATGAAAGAATTACTTGCTCTTAAACATCAAATACAGTGTAAACCATAGAAACAATTCGAATTTTAGACATCTATTTTTTCTGCAGTATTATTGCCTAAATAAATATTGCAAGAGCTAAATGTTTTTCATGTTTATTCATTAATAATATCTATACTAGTCATAATATTTAATTCTGTATAAAAAAATGAAATGTTTATTCTTCTATTCAAATAAACTAATCGTCTATAAGCTACTTATAGCTATAGTATGTTGAATGTCACATTCAACGGACATGATACTATATCGTAGCTTAGTAGGAAAAAAACATTTATTTACTGATTTGATGATACAGAATGGATGAAACCGCACATGTCAAGCTTTCCCCTACATTTACTTATTCCAATCGTATTCTATGTATTTTCATTTTCGCCTTTATCAGTGTTACGATCATAGAAAGAAAATAAGCAAATGGCATTAACTTATAATAATAAAAATGTTGTATCCACTGTCGAGTGTTATGATGCTTGGTCCAATACATATGATTCTGATGGAAATGTTCTCCAATTACTTGATGATATTGTATTCGAAGAAATAGCTCAACCTCGTCTTAATTCTATTCATAACTCTAATATGAGACAAATCTGTTGTGAATTAGGATGTGGGACAGGACGTAATACAGTGAAATTATTAAATGCTGGATGGTTTGTTGTAAGTATAGAAATAAATATAGGATATAATGATTTCCTCCCATTCATATTGATTATCTATTGACAATCAGTGAATATATTTAGACGACGGAATTTAATCACTCTTTTTCATAGGTGGACCTAAATGATCTTTCTTTGTTTCTTTTATAAGATATAAAAGTAACTCAAAACTTTAGGAAAAATAAAATCATACTAACCTAATAATGATAACCTGTTATTGCAAATGCGACTGTCTCATCTTCAACTGTAATACTATAAGCCGTCATCTGTCGTACTTAATTATGATTATCACTAGCCAGAGGTGTTACCAAGTTTCATGTCTACTGTGAATTGCATGTATTCGAATATGCAAACGTTAACGACGGTATAGTCTACCTAATAAAGGTGTTTTAAACGTTTAAAATATTAAAAAAAGATCACGCCTTTTAAATATCATCATCGACTGCGAACTTAAAAGAACTTTGTTTTTTGGCTAAATAGATCTAAGCCATCACTTTATACTTCAATTTTTATACTTCAAATTCATTGTTTTAGGACGAGCAGTTCTTGAAAATTATTCGATCATCCTGTTTTCTTTTTGAACGCGTATTTTTTCCATACAGTTTTATAATCATTTTGTGTAATATTAATCTTAGTTTTCTAGCCAATTTCATTTAGGGGAATAAATTAATATAATATCGCAATTACGCACTGTCTGTCCGTAGAAGATACTTCGTTTATGGTTCAGATATTTTCATATATTGCTCTATATTATTCTTTCTAATATTAAAACAAATAGTATTTTTTTGTGTTCCAAACTAGCTAACTCTATTTAAAATGAACCTGATAATCTCAACCAAATTGTATAGTTGGAACTCGATGATCATCCGAAAGATAAGGTATGATATAAGTTTTTCGGTGTTTACCATTCGGTGACTAATTTTTCCTAGATATGTAATAGACGACTAGATCGAAATTTTTCATACTCAAACCAGTAGTGTCAAACTTGAAACTTGAACTCAGTTGAAAATAGAAAATTTCAACTTTCAACTTTCAACTTATGGCGATATATGTGTGAGTCACTATTCTTCAGAATGCTATTGGTTTAAAAGTCGAAAATTGAAAATTTTAATTTTCAATTGAGTTCAAGTTTCAAGTTGGACATATATGACTCAAACCGAATGTTCAGCACTATCCCAATAGGCTCTACTATTGATTAATATTTGATTGTTTCTGACATAGAAAATATACAAACAAGAAAAGTTCTCACGTGCTAAATCAATAGAGAAACAAGAATTTCAAATGGGTTAATAAAATTATTCAGAATAAATATTTAATATTCAAGGCACGCATAGATGTTAATGAATTGATCTTAGCTATAATACTAATAGATGTTTTGTATTCTATACTTAACAAGTAGCTTCTAGCGATATGAAATTGGTTTTGTCGTTTTCTTTTTCAGCAAAGGATGCATTTTTAAAGTCTTTGACAGATCAGAAATAACTTGCATGTTTTTATATAACATGTCGAAACAAGCAAATTATATAAAAATTTACTTGTTCGATTCAAACACATCGATACATTGTTGCTAATATTTATTTGTCAGTATTAGTTACTGTAATACCTATTGCCAATGAAATTTTTCATATAGAATGGAAGAAATCCAATAGTTATCTTTCTCACTCTCAAGATAATAAGAGAAAAGGAAGACCTAGTATTTTATTAGTTTGTATCTAAGTACTTTGATATACGTACGTAAAATCAGATTGGTAATCGTTCAATTGAATAAAGAGCACAATCGTCATATTTTGCCCTATTAGAATAATTATTTTTAGTTGACAAAAATGTTCCTAGTTTCTATTCATAAGAGACACATAAACAAAAGCTTATGATCTACTCCTATTAGCTTCGATGAAGCACTACAACTTCTTACGAGTTAGGGAAAAAAATTATTTATCAGTTGAAACTAATGAGTGTGGTGCGAAGCACAGCATTCTTGTAGTCCATTGCGTGTTTTCTTTTGCTTTCTCGGCGTACGCATCTTTTTCATCATTTTGTGACCCGATGATCTCGAGTGCCGAAAATCATAGAAAACTCATTGAAACGAGAGATGAAAGTATCGAGATCGAACTTCTGACATATATTTTTTCTATTCTTTAATCTGATATTCTGTTCACTCACAAATGTGGTTCCAAAATGACGAAAATGAAAGAAATTTTTGTTGCGAGATAATTAAAGTGACGTCATGAACATATGTTAGTTACTCTATAGTCTATTCATTTACAGTTGATCTAAGATAGTGAAGCATGGAGATAATTAATCGATCAATCGAAATCGACCCTTAAGAATGTATCGCTTGGTAAGAAAACAGTTTTCTCAGTGATGAATTTCAAAATGGTCGATTTAAGAATAGTGAATGCGAAATTTTTATTCAGAATTCGTATACGGAAATTTAAAAAAATATCAACGATTCTAGTGAATCTTAAAGTGTATCATTTATGTTTTAAATCTTATTCTCGCTACTTTCGAACATTCGGCTCGTGTGCTTCGCACCGCATTTCGTAGTCGAGTGAAACTCGAATACTATCTAGTTTTAAAGTTATTTCTCTGATTTATGAGCGACATTGACAATATATTGGTTAACCACAAGCATGTATACTAAGCAACGCGAATACTAGCATGCGTGTTACTACGAACGCCGTTCTCTTTTTCTCTAACCATATTCATCAATCGCTTTGCTACTGCATTCGAACAGAACAATAAGCAAAGATACTTGAGAGAAAACAGATCATTCCTAGCCATGTAGAAACAAAACTAGGAGCCGAAAAAGCAACTATTTATAAATAAGGTATATTGGCGACAGTGAATGAAGTAATCGTAAGTGAATTTGTCTAAGTTCTTTTGAATCGTCATACGACACTTATAACGTATAATATTACAGAGTGAATTAATAATAATGCTCGATTCTTAATACTTTTTCATATTTCTCAAGTACTGGAAACTATATTTTTGATTGATTTTTATCAACTATGTTATAATTTTTTAACGGTTAAAATTATTTTTCACTTTAACACAAATTAACTTATGAAGGGAACAGATATTAAAACAAAAGTTCACCTATGTTTATTTCGGTTACTTTCAGTGACTTTCTTGACTAGTCAATAATAAGGTTTTGACTCTTTTATTTTGGTACATCTGTACTAAAAAAAAAAGCAGTTAGCATAGAGTTAACTTTTATATAGATTTTACTAAAAATTATTAAAATACTTTGTGAAAATTCAGTTCCAGTTTGTTTTAAACTCTTACATGTTGAATAGCTGTCTGCTGGTATCCTTTACATAGGTGAGTATCTCAGGACTTTACTAGACCGCAAAGTATTCTAGTTGAATCAAGAATAGTAGTCTGTCATATAACAAAAAAGAACTTTTTTTTGTTACAATCAATAAAAATACATGTATCACAAATATTTGTAATGTTCTCATTGAATTCTTTCTCTTTTTGTTTATGGCTGAAATTTTCAGCACATACTAAATAGTATGACAAGTATGGAGTTATATACAAACGAGTATAATCGGTCATAGAGATAAGAATGACATAAAAAAATCATTTGCTTGAATAATATAAAGAATACATTCAGCAATTTAAGCGA